ATTTCTGTGTATTATCTACGTGTTTTCCATTCATATCTTTTTCTGTTGTTGGCTAACCATATTTTTAGACACTAAACTCGTTGACTTGGTTCATGATTGTTCTAAAATTTAGCTAGGACCATAAATGCATTATTTACTAAATAATGCCAAAAAAAAATCCACACAAAAAATTATAAATACTACATGCATGTTGATTCCTTTTTTACTCCAAAAAATGAATTTTCTTATAATTTTTGTGTTAGTTATTACTATACATCTTACGCTAAATGAAGCTTGCAAAGAAAATCATGTAGTATTCCATAACTAACTTGCCCCTGGTATTGTTCTCAACATTACATGTCATAAAAATAGCTTTAGGAACCCACCTTTTAGGACAACCTTATTAAAATACAAGGATCCTTTTTATAAAATTGAATTCGAGGAAAGGCACCAATTGGGTGATAGAACAGCATGGTTATTGTACTCTTAGCCACGGGACTAAACCAAAATATTATTATGATCTTGAAGTATATCGTTCAGGTAAACTTCCTCGATGTGGTCAGCTACGCTCGTGGACTGCCAAACTTGATGGGATTTGGTTTACGAAAAATTATTGGAGTCCGCCGGGACATGTACGAAATTGGATGCGAGCATAATGTTCTTTTATTTTGTTTTCTACAACTAACTAATGTTTATGTAAGTGAATTTTTTTTTTGTTTTTTTGCTTATGCACTAAGTTGTGAAAGCTAGTCACCACACTAGTTTGGTGCTTAAATATATTGTAATATAAATTATTTGTATTTGATATTTATGAATTTTGTATTTAAATCAGAAGACAATATATTTTTATACTAACGTTTTTTTTAAGAAACGTATCTACTTGTTTTCCATACATGCATATCTTCCTCGATGTGCATGAGCCCGTTATCGTTTTTGATGTATTTTTTTGATGTGTTCTTTTTTTGTAGTTATCATGATTCATACGTACATTACACTTGCTGCATATGCAAATATAAATAGTTGTTTTTACATGATGCGTCCAACAGAGCAAAAGACAAAAAAAACTTTGCATATATATGTTAATGAATTAAATGGTTTATAGGGGATCATAAAAGGATTAAAACAATGTTCTGAAGAGGAAAATTAGTGTCATGGATTCGCCAAATTTCAATGTTTGTTTTCTGAAGGCTGAAGCTATCTATTTCCAAAAGTTAAAAACACAACAATAACTAGTTAATTAATTAACGCTTTCCAAAACAATAAGAAGAAGAAAAAAATGCTGAAATATAATAGTTAAAATAAAATATTTTTCTTTTCTAATAACCAATAAGAATTGAGCAAAGGAGCTTTTGTCTTCGCCTATCAAGTACTCACTCATTTCACACACTTCTCTTCACGCTTGAGTCTTTCACTCTCTATCTATAAATACCCTCCGACTCCTACTCATCCTCTCCACCAAACATATCATCGTTGATCATTAATAA